GATCTGGCTTTTAGGGGAATGTGTAAGGACATGAAGAATTGATGTCTGTTCAGGAAACACTCATGTTCTACAGAGTACTAAGGATATGCCTCATTTAGTTCCAGTCCAGTGAATTTGTCAATTAGTTGGGGGTAGTTTCTGAGTTACATGTAGCCATCTAAAATTTAAGGGTTTAGTCTGACCATCACTTGAAGGTGAATCCAGAGCATGACTGACATCTGTAGAAGACAGATTATTGATCTCATCTATCTGGATATCAGAATTGGTACGAGAACAATCACTGTGAGATGTGTAACACTGTGCACAGACTTTAGAAAGATCCTGAACAACCAGCCTGGACAAGATATCTGACTCTCAGGTGGATAATGAAATGCAATGGATCCCATCCCACTGACATTGGAGAACAGTTCCATTAGTGCTCCCTATTAATTCACTGACAGTGTAGAATAATACCATCATAAGTTCAGCTAATCTTTTTGCACCTCAGAAGACATGAAAATGTTTTACAGGTTATCAACAGAACTTACTGCACCCATAATTAGGAAACATTGGATTTAAAAGCCTTCATGAATGTTGATTGTTACTCTTTAGAAATACAACTGTTTCTGGAGGGAGAGAAGGCAGCCCAGTCCCTTACAGCTGCTGAAAGCACTACACAAAGGACAGTGGAAGCTTGCAGATTTTAAATTTTGAGATCTGTGCATGAGGATTTACAAGTATTTCTTTCCAGGACAGTTAGAAATCAGAGGTATTCATTCAAACCTTGAAGAACTGTGAATAATTGTACTTTATATGCAGGCAAATACCAACATGTGCACTGTGGGAGAGGATGGGTCATGCTGTTCAAAGCCAACATCTGCAAGAGCCCAGGCTCACATTGTTACCTGCACACAGCACAGCAGCCACGTACAAGGTCAGTGGTAGACTGTGCTCCTATTGTTAGTGCTTGGAGAGGGAACATTTTATCCTTCACAACAAATCTACATACAGGCTATTGAGTGAAATACAATAGCCTTGCTAAATTACTTCATCCATTAGCTGGATGCCTGTAAGAAAAATAAAACAGTGTATTTTTTGCAATCCATTATGGATTGTGTGGTAAACAACGTGTGCTCAGGGAAAACAAAATGGTATCTGATCCCAAAAGCAGACATATTTTGGCTTTTCAAAGGGAGGTGGGAAATGTCTTTTAGTATCACTTAGTAATATTTTAGGAAGCCAAGATGATCTAAAATTTGAGTGCTGTATATACACAAGGAAGGGAGTCTCTGTTCCAAGGGGTCTGTGATTAGGGTTGGTTGGTCTAACATCACTCCTCACCTTGAAAGAGAGTGCCAGGGTGCAAATAGAGCTGGGGGCTCCCTGTGGGCTGGGCAGTCAGCAGGGATCCCCCTGGGACCTGGCAGGCCTGAGTGGCAGACCTGTCCCAATATCCCAGCAAGGACCAGGACAGCAATGGGGCAAGCAGAACAGCCCAGCATCCCACAGGATCTCTGGGGCAGGGACTGATGGCCGTGAGCTGGGCTGGAATGGGGCTCTGGCTCCATGGGGCAGCAATTTACGTGTGGGATGGAGTCTCTACATTTAGGAATATCAATCTCATACCTGAAAGATTTCCCAGATCTGCTGTAAGAGTGATGAGGGAAACAGGAGCAAGTGAGCATCACCTCTAGAGTCAGTCCAAGCAGCAATCACTGTGTTGCTGATAGCATAATACCAGGTCCTGAGGGTCACATTGCAGCTCCTCCACCTCACTTCATCCCAGGACAGGCAGTGATAGTGCTCCTTGATTTTCATGCTGACCCAGTGGCTCCCAAGCACTTCTCACAACACTTGCAGTTGTGCTCCATTAGGTAATAAGGCAAGAACCTTACTATTAAAGGGAAGAGGTTGGGACAGATATTTTTCCTTTATTTTTCTATTTTTGTCCTCCCTCTCAGACTCTGCTGATGAAGCTTCTCTTTTCCTCCTCAGTATTCCCAGTCTCCCTCCGAACTCAGGACTCAGCTACCATTCTCATAAACCCGATGTGCAGGTGACACTTCAAGGATGCAATCAGAAAATGTCGTGGGGGGTGGAGGAGCAGGAGATGCTGACACAGGAAAAACGTTCTATTTTAAGCCACCCAAGTGCATCCCCACTCCTGGTCCTCAAATCAGCAGGGCTGCCTGCTCTTGGTGTCATGAATCATTCCAATCTGGCTGGAGGAGTCAGACTTCTTCCCCTCAGCCTTTGTAACAATATGCTGGAAAGGTTGCAGTGATTTCCTCATGGGGATTTAGGGCAGCTGGGTGGGTTGGGAAGGCCTGGCTGGAGCAGAGAGCAGACCCTCAGCATCATCAGGAGCTGTGGCACAGCAGAAGGGATGTACCTGGCAAATCTAGGGCGATTTGTGAACCTCTTGAAGATGTCACTGAGGTGACAGTAACTAGATGAGAGCTCCCAAATCCTCCATTTTTTTCCTGTTAATAATTTGGGCACTCTCTGTCATGGAGGCTTTGACCTGTGAGACAGGCTTCCTCCAAAGAGGAGTGGTGGAATCATCCTGGAAGTGCTCAAGAAATGGGTAGATGTGGTTCTCAAGGTCATGGTTTAGTGGTGGCCTGGCAGTGTTAGGTTTGTGGTTGGACTCGATGATCTCAGAGGTGTTTTCCAACCTCAATGACTCTGTGATTCCAAAGCAGCACTGTATGGGCTGAGGAGAGCTGGGACTGAGCTGGAATTGTGGCTGCTCCATCCCTGCTCCTCCCATGGCTGAACTGGAGCACTGTGCCCATATGTGCAAATAGCAAGTGAGTAAAACTCCATTTATAGGAGGGAAGACAGATCTTTGCATTGTAAACATAATCTGTAGGTGGGCAAAGATTCCACTGTTTCACATGCCCAGAGATGACATCAAACCAGGGGCCAAGACTGGAAGAGAAGCTGCCTGTCACCTGTCAGTGCACACTGTCTTTAGTCTTCAGAGCACCTAATCCTACAGAGCCACCACTTTTTTGTCTGTTTTATGCAGGATTCAGAAAGCATGGCAATGAGAAAGTGTTTGAACTCCCAAACAATGCACTCAAGAAACTCTTCAGTGTGGAGGTAAACCAGACCTGGCCCCATTAGTGCTAGAACTGGTGCACACTGGAGGGCAAATTGTTTGCTTCACAGCACTCATGCATTGTGTCACCATCTACTGTGTGTCCCTGCAGGCTTTTGAAAACCACTTCTAATTCCTAGAAAGAAAAATAAGGGATGTTCTTGGAGGAAGAATGGAATAGGTAGCACCCTGGGTTACCTATTGGCCTTGTGATTATTTGCACGCTCTGGGCAAGGAGACCGAGTAAACAAACCCTGAAGGGAGGAAAAACAGAATTATCACAAGAGAGCTTGTTTCAAGGCCCCCAGAATACATGATTGCTTTTCTTCTGGGTAGGAGATCAATGTGAACCAAATGTCAGCCAGTCTGAGGCGGGAAACATTTGAATGACGTGCCCCAAACCGAGACCCCAAACTCCTGTGAATCAGCCACGTCACACAGGGCTGAGACAGCTCAGCCCTTCGGTGCTTTGCTGAGCCTGACTCGGTCAAGACACAAAGGAGGTAAAACCAGGAGGAAAACTCACGGTTTGTTTATCAGACGTGAAGAACCTGTGGAGTGTTTGGATCACAGCTTGGTACTGCCAGGGCTTCTGCTGCCCAGGCCCTGCTGGAGCAGCAGCCTGCTCCAAGAACACACGGGTAGGGAGCAGTGCCATGGAGGGAGGGGTAAAGACACATCCAGGTCACAAGGCAGGAGGCAGGGATCCCACAGGCTGAGCTTGGCTTTGAAGCCAATTAACACCAGTGGAGAGTCACTAGAGCATGAAATACACACCATCCAGCTGCAGCTGGATTAACTCTCCTCCAATTGCCTGGGAGTCAAGCAAAGCCTGTTTGATGGCAGCTGGGCTGACTAAATTCTCACTGACCATGAGCCTCCTGCCCCCCTGCCCCCCTTCCCTGAGTGCCAGGAGCCCAAGCAAAGATGAACTTCTCTGCCAACAAAACTCTTGTCACTGCAGTCATACTGACTAACCTTTTAACGAAAACTTATACACAATCACCACTGGACCCTGTTCACCCTCTCAATCATCCAGTTTTGAATTTGTTAACCATCTTCCCTCCAAAATGCTTGCATGTGTCTGTTCAGACAATATCTCCCTATGAAAATCTAGTGTCTCTGACTCAAGTCTTTGTTCAAACTCCTCTCTAAATTAACTCAAAGTTATCTGCATGACCTTAAAGTCATGTTCATGCCTACAGCTTTTTTCACCAACTCTCCCGAGTTTCCATGAATCAAAGCAACTTCCATGGCATCACCTTCCCCAGAGGCAGCTTGTCTCCTGCAGCTTTTTCCACTGCCCCAGCATCATCTCCCCCTCTGTCTCTTCAGATCTATATCCTCTGCTGCAAATTCAATTAAAGCCTCTCTGGGAACCTCATGATCAAGTCAATACAGTGATCAGTGGTTGGATGGGTTAAAGTGAGGCTTAAGGTGAGTAGATACATGAGAAACTGAGAGGAAGACAGGCTTTGATATCAGGAAACTGGAGAGGCAGGACCCATCACTCTTCACTTAGGGATGCACTGTGTAGGTTCCTACAGTCATTACAGATCCAGCCAACACACTCTCACCCTCAAATTGCTGACTGCACTAGTAGATCTCCATCAGGGACAGCAGGAATTGATCAGGGAATCAAGGGGGCAATATATCAAACCCCATCCAGTTAGTTGGGCAGGTGATTCTGGCCACATGAAATAAGCTCATCTGTATGGTCTGTACAGTCTTCTCTCTCAATTACCCTGCAGCTGTATCTGCTCCAAAAATAACAGCGAGCTCCTTTGCATTTTGTGATTGTGCCATCCTAATTAAACCAAATCCCAATCTCCAAACAGCGGTGGTAGGAGCCCTTCAGTTTTATGGGGGAGAATGGGACAAATCCTCTTTCCAAGTTATTTTTACTCCAGCCTACCTGGTTTGAAATCGGTCCTTGATTCAATTTGGTTGCTGTGGAAACAGCCATGACGTCAGACTTGGGAGTTTTGACATCGCTGAGCGAATAATCCCAGGCTGGAGAGGGAAGCAGGAAAAATGAAGTAAACAAACATGTTTATCCACAAACGCTCCCACCATGAGGAACTGGAATCTCCGGTGGTAATTTACCACACGTTGCTAATGTGTTTGTTCTAATATATTTCTTAATTCTTTTTTCTCTGATTTTGGCTGAATCTGAAGGTTCATCAGGGCTGGAACAAGCAGGGGAAGCATATTGAAATGAGCATTACAGATCTGTCGTGCTCTAGTTTATGGGTTTTTCTCAGCGATACACAGTAAGTAAAACAAGCACTGATTGAGTCAGCTGCCTCCTGGGTGTTCATTTGCTGTAGTGTGAGGAATATTAATGCTAAGTACATCCTCGTGCATCAGGAGAGGCAGGAGGAGGCAAGCAGATTACCCCGGCTTAGGGGTATTATACACGCGTCTGCAACTTCCAAAGACACAGAGAGGAAACAGTTCTCTGGGTTTTTGTCTCTTATCTTCTTACAGTCTTATAGATTTTGGAGATGCATTGCCCTGGAGTTTTAATACTCAGAGTTTTCAGGGGAGATTGTGATTATTATTTTTTTTTTTCTTAATCTGTGCTTTTTTACAGGGGGAAAAAGAAAAAAAAAAAAAAGAGCAAGGGCTGAGTTTCTTCAGGATAAAAAAAAAAAGCAGATTCCAAGAGAAGAAAGAACAGATGAAAAAGAAAAGTTTGATTAAAATCCCCTCTTGTTGCGTGTGTTTGATGTAAATATCTTCACACCTTTCTCTTTTCCTTTGCAACCTCAGCAGAGGGTTCAGCCCATCACCAGGGGATTGAGTTCCAAGCTTAGGGCTTTGTAGTTGCTGCTGCTCTTGCTGCTGTTGTCTAAAGGGATTATAAGCCTTTGTAAAGCTTGTGTTAATACCCTGGAGGGGAAAAATGAGTTTCCAAATAACCTTTGTTCTGCATCTCCTGTCTGAAGTACCCTAGGAAAGGAAAAAATTACGAAATGTTTTGGTTTCACGAGCAGGTCATTTAAAGTTCACAAACAAGGGCTCCAGCCTTTCCAGCCTGGCCTCTCCCAGTGCAGTGATGGTCCTTGTGCTGGTGCTGCTGACACCAGGACCTGTTAGGAACAGCAGTGCCCTTCTCTGTTCACCAGGGAACACGTTCAATTTTAAACTGGATTTTTAAAACTTCCCTGAAGAAGCTGAATTAGGTGTTTTTCCCCCACCACAACCTTCAGTAACATTTGGTCACTTTATATTCCGTACCACCTTTGGAAAATCCCAGCTCAGGATCCAACTCCACAGCTTCACACTGACTCTCTGTATCTTTTCAAACCTTTTTTTTTTTTTTTTCTTCCCTCTCCTTTGCTGCAGGAGGATTGGTTTTGAGCCACACCACCACGTTCCCCTTCAGATGCAGCTGCTGCTGCAAAGGTGCAGAGCTGTTTGGTATTCAGGGAGCGCCGGTGGCTGAGGGTCATTCGGTATTCCAGTGTGAGGAGTGGATTGCTCAGTATTCCAGGTGTGTGCCATCTCCTGGTGTCAGTCAGGCCCCAGGACTGTACAGCTGTGGATTGCTCAGTATTCCTAAGGAGTGCTCCAGCTGCTTTAGGGCTGTCACGGAGCGCTCGGGTGCTCGCCAGGGTGAGAGGCTGTCGGTTTTCCCAGCTGTCTCCCTGGGAAGGGCTGGGACACACAGGCATCCATTCCATTCTCTCTGCCCTACCAGGCTCTGAGAATAGAAATAGAAGCCATGGTCGAAGGGAAGATTATAATGAAGGGAGAGAAAAAGAAGAGAGGAAGACAAGAAGGGAGAGAGATGAAAGAGCAGCGCTTCAGGAAATGAGCCTTGTGAGCCCCTCACGTGGGGGCTCTGCAGGAACCACACTTTGGGTGTAAATTAAAAGGGGGAAGGCAATGCATTCTATCTTGCTAAGACTGACTGAAAAGCCCAGAGCAGATCTGTCCAGATACACTTGTTATCACACTGTTATGGTCTGTGATCCAAGGTTCATCCCCACAAACACCCAGGATCACAACAGGAGGTGTAGGAAACACAAGGACCTTAGCAGAGAAATGCAGCCCCCTAACCCAGCTCCTCACAGCCACCAGCCCCAGCCCTTGAGGGGAAAACCATCAGGGTGAGTCCATGGGAGAGGCTGTTCAGCAACTCCCTCACAATGATAAGGTTTGCTGCCAACAGGGGGATGGGACTCACTGCTGGACATGGGGAAGAGCCTTTTGGGGTTGTACAAAACTTTTCAAAAATCTGATTCTAAAATTTTCTGAAAGAAATTTGTAGCAATTCTGACATGTTTTGTTTGAGGAAAGCACAGCTCCCCCATTAAGGTTTTTTCTTTTCAGTTATGACAATTTCATAACAATTTCCTAATAATATTGAAACACAATAATGACAATTAACAGACAACTTTTGGATTCACTTAATTTTTTTTCTTACAAACCATCCAATAACAACTTTGCCTTTTCAGAATAACATGCAGATTAGGGACAGAGAAAAAAAAAAGAATCTGAGTCTTTGGATAGGAAAAATTGTTTCCAGCACAGTTCTTTTCATAAGACCATCTGCTCCTTCATTACCAGGTATGAGTTTGAGGATGTATCTGCCAGCTACTGCAGATGACAAGCCAGCACTGTGTGCAGGTACTTCTGAGGTTGCCTAGCACAGGTTCTGAACAAATGGGCTGGCCATGGAAGTGGGAGAAAAAGTTGGGTTTTGGAAAACCAAAAGTGAAAATGGAATCTGGAGCTAGAAAGGGCACCAGTTAAAACTCACCCTGTCTTCACAGGACATGCCGAGTTGGAAGGGACACAGGGATCATCAAGTCCAGCTCCTGGCCCTGCAAAGGACCATCCCCAAGAGTGTTGGTTTTTGCCTCGTGTGTTGATCTTTCTGGAGTGAGTAGCAGTGGATCAGGGGTGAAACCATGTCTTTTCATTGCCAATATACTGCAAAACCATGACAGTAAAGATGCAGTTCCACTGATCTGGAAGCCTTCACATGTGTCTTTTCTTTCTCCATCAACCCTTGGCCTTAAAGCATGAAATCAGATCTCTGGATCTGCTACACCATGAAAATATTTAGTGACTATAGTGTTTATTTGAGACCCTTGATTCACTCAACCCACTCTCTGAAGGAATCTCTCCCAACATGCCCCCTAGTACTTAACTATGAAAATTACATTCCCTTCCCCATGACTTTGTCAGTGCAGGGAACATCACAGGCTGCTTCCAAATGCTGCACGGCACTTAATGGTATTTTATGACACATTTTTCAAATCAAATTTAAAAGCATAACTGAGTGGAATTAAATTAATGCTGTCTGGTAATGTCAGCAGCACCGGAGCCGTGCATGGCTGGCTTAGCTCCTAAACCTCTGGCAGCTTCCTGGGACTTATTTCTGACTTCAGGGAAAGAGTGAATTTTTTTTAATTTAAACTGTGTCTAGGGAAGGGATTGTGGGGGAGTAAAGAGAGGTTTGGGTAGAGTTTCCTAAGTTCAGATGTAGGTATGTTCCTGGGTACAACTGGGGGAAGGAGTGTATATGAATTTAGAATATGTATCCATGAGTTTTAGTGTGATGGATGCATATCCAAAAGATCTGAGAATATCCCTGTATTACCCAGGCAGATCTTTTTGGGTCTGATTCTGGGGTGGTTTCATTTTCCCCTCACCCCTGCTCACACAGCTTGATGAAATACATCCCAGCAATGAGCAGATCATGGCTCTGATAACGATGATGATTTAAAATGGTAAATTGTTGCATCACTGAGCAGAATGCAGTTTGTGCCTGTGTATATTTTTGTCTCTGTGGAGTCAGGAGAGCCTGCTAGTAGCTTTTGATCTGGAAAACTGTTAATATAACAGTATTCACACATATATATTAATATAGGATGAGAAGTGTGTGTGCCTGTGCTGGTGTGTGCAGGGCCATTAGAATGCTTATTTTAATAACACAAAACCAACACAGATCTGTTAGATATGGTATCTGCCTCACTTGTGTACATCCAACTTTTTCTTTTTTCCCTTTCTGATTTAAATGCATTAAGTCCAGCTCTTTTTTTTTCTTTTTTTCCTGCATTGTGGAAACATCTCATAACAATTTTAGCCAAAAGAGATCAGGATTGCTCCAAGACTACATAGCACAGGATGTACTTCATCAGTACCCAGAAAGACTTGATTTATTCCTCAATGACTTTACATTTCCTCACCCCATTCAAAGACATGCACTTGAACACATCGATTGTCTGGGCCTCTTTACCTTCCACACAGGCAACACTCGAAGTGTTTCCTCCACAGAAAAGGAATGGCAGTGCTACAGTAGAATTGCACAGCCCCAAGTGGCATCCAAATGAGCTCTGCTGAAGTGTTCCAGTCTCCTCTTGTCCCCACTGAACACGCAAGTTGCTGCTGAACTTGGGTTCACGTTGTGGAGGGAGGAAGGACTGCATTCCTCCTGTTAAATTAAGGCAGGTGCCGACTGCCACTGAGCCCACGGGACAAAACCAGAGCTGGGCTGAAGTCACCCTTCATGAAACATAAATAAAATGTTGCCCAGAGAAGCTGTGGCTGCCCCTGGATCCCTGGAAGTGTCCAAGGTCAGGTTAAGACGGGGCTTGGAGCAACCTGGGTTAGTGGAAGGTGTCCCTGCCCATGGCAGGGGGTGGAACCAATTTATCTTTGAGGTCCCTTCCAACCCAAACCAGTCTGTGATTCTATGGTTTGATGATAAAACAACTCCTCTTTTCTTTGTTTGCTTTTCACCTTTAGGGCTATAAAATGTATAGTCCTCCCTTTAGAGAAGATCACAGGATGGTTTTGGGTTGGAAAGGACCTAAAAGATCATTCAGCTTCAATCCCACTGCCATGGGCAGGGACACAGCAAGCAAACACAAGAACTCTTTCCCACAAAACACAGCATGTTTATAGTGGTGACCTCATCACTGCAATGCCATGGTGATGTTCCCATTCCAACACTTGTACTATGGCTTTGGGTAACTTCTGGATACTTATGTGATGAGAACCCTTTGAGGTCAGGTAATGTACTGGA